CGCGCACTGCCACAGTGCGGATAATTTCGCCCAAGCTCAAAGGAAACAACGGTTGTACGCACCTCTGCCGGTCTGTCGACTCGGTGTTGTGGGTGGTCCGGTTGTGCCTCAGTTGAGGGATAACTTCCTAAATGATAATACTCTCGGCGGAGCCACTCCGCATAACAACTCCACATTTCCATCGACCACCTCCCTCTCTCGCGCGCGCACTGCCACAGTGCGGATAATTTCGTCCAAGCTCAAAGGAAACAACGGTTGTACGCACGTCTGCCGGTCTGTCGACTCGGTGTTGTGGGTGGTCCGGTTGTGCTTCAGTTGAGGGATAAGTTCCTAAATGATAATACTCTCGGCGGAGCCCTCCGCGAAACTATAACTCTGTGTTTCTACTGAACACCTCGGCGGAGCCACTCCGCGACACTATATATAACTCGGCAACCTTGCCCTCGTTTATCGCTCTTACACTCTTACATATTAGTCCTAGCCCTTCAAAGTCCGGTCGACACGGACGGCTAGCCGCTCGGTGCCTTTGCTATACTTCATGGGAATACGCAGTAGAATTCATCGAGTCACGGAATAATCATTTTCCATCTCGCAGTGATCGACGGCGTCAGCAGAGTCAAAACAGGCACAGGGGCCTGGCTCGAACCAGCCTCTTTCCGGCTCGTTGGATTGTCTCGGTCTTTATCCTACTTTGTTGTATGGTTTAGTCCAATCGCGTCGATATATGTTACAATCATTGGGAGCAAGATAAAGAATACAGCAGATGAGAGAGAGAGAGAGAGAGAGAGAGAGAGAGAGAGAGAGAGAGAGAGAGAGAGAGAGAGAGAGAGAGAGAGAGAGAGAGAGAGAGAGAGAGAGGGAGAGGGAGAGGGAGATGGAGAGGGAGAGGGAGAGATCGGATTACGAGAAAATGGTTATGGGGTGGTCCATTTCGATGTTTCCCCGCACTTGCTCACATTTGGTTAGGTAGTGTTGCCCGTCAGACAAATGTCGCCCTTATCGCCCTTGTCATCACTCCTGACCTTCCTTACACTCATGCCGCTAAACTTTCAGGGTTTTATTCACGCAATACACCTCGGAGTAAAATAAACCAAATTCAAGCGCATACCTCATGATTTCCCAGACGCACCCTCGCTTCGATTTTGTTCCAAAACAAAAATAACATCGCGCTATCTGTTACCCAAATCTACACACCCGCGCAGCAAACCTTCCCATCGCACACATAATTCGCCACTTCCGACCAGCCCTGACGCAATGATTCGACAGCGATCCAATTAAAATCTGAGTCCCCAAGTCCTATCGAGACACCCAATAAATTTACCCAATCAATCCATTATAAATAATCACGTCTTCACGCTTTGTCTCCCCCCCCCCCCCCCAAAAAAAAGAAAGAAGCTTACATGGTGTTGTCGTTACGCCTAATCCTCACGCTCAGCCCGAGAAAGGTAGCCCTGAACCATCAGCCGGTTGGTGCAAATCACGGAGTGAATATATGAGGGACGGGAGCTGAATGATTGCATGTTGGCAAGGATTGAGCAGACTTCCTTTCTGTGGCAATTCTTACTTGAACGGCGTTGTTGACCCAGCCGGTTACCGAGAGGTCGATGATGATAGCAGTTTGTCCGTTGTCGATGGCTGAGAGCGTGCACTTTCCTCGATCCAGCTCTCGATCACTGTCGTACTGGATCCTCCCTCGTCAGCTGCTGCCCGTCGCGCTCCTCCCGTCGTACTCCATCCTCCGTGCACTGCCGTGTCCTCTGCGCTCCGCCCAGCCGGACTCGATGCTCCGTGCACTCCGGTGTCCTGTGCACTCCTCGGTACCTCCTCCATGACTGCCTCGTTCCTTTATACCCAGATTACTATCGCGTTGGTGTTCCAGGTGTGATAAGCATGGCTAGATATTCGTCGGTGTGGCGTGATAGGCCTGGTATCTTTATCTGTATGATGACTCATGAGTGGCATCGGTCCTGGTTATTGACTTTCTTCCAGCTGGTTGTAATTGGGCCGGGTGCAGTGCTTATCACTTTTGCTATCTTCTTGCCATCTGCCGTGCACACCTTTGTTCTGCTGGGAAGCTGAGGTACACTGTCCGGCGTCGGCGCTTTATTGCTTGGTTTGGTTGTAATCACGATATCTCGGGTATGTATGGTCCGCCATGGTCATTGAACTTCCCAGCTGTTCCTGTTTTGGCCGAACGCTTGTGATATTAGCGAATTCGTCAGTTATTACTCTGTTTGCTGGGCGCTCATTTGTCCCAGCTGCCGTCCAGTATCAGTAGTCCCCGACCGTCGGCGTCGCTGCTCGTCAGGTGAATGCCAGATATGGGCATTGGCGTGTCCCACTCTCGGCACGGAACATCTGCTCTTCTGGACGTACATATTTGCACCTCCGATTCCGCAGGGAGGGTGACTGGCACTTTGGGTTAGCATCTGTCGGCGGCTGATAACTTCGTCGGCGTGAGTGTAATTTTGATGGCTTGACGCCTTCTATTTGCGGCACTTGCGGCATGATACGGCCCGAGGGGTCCCTGCGTCAGCTGTTTCTTGTTTGACATGCTCACACCGGTGTCGATCCACTAGGTCGAGGCGGTGCCGGTGGCGATATCCCAGGCGCAGGTGCAGAGGATTGGCGCACAGGATGCCGGCCGATTGCGCTTTGGAGAGATAAAGTTCCGTTATGAGCTTTTCCTGTAGATGCGGGCGGGGAGGCGGCAGTGTTTACACCTCTGCAGTGCCAGGTGTAGCCCGTTTTTGACGTGGCCACCCAATTGGCGTGCGACCGATAAGAGGGGTCGGCGCTACGTCGGGTCCAGGTGGGGTAGACCATCTGCCGCCTGCGCCCTGTTGACCCGCGTTATCCATGAATGTGTCGGGAATTGAAGCGCCGTTCTTCTCTCACTTTTGCGTGTTTGGCTTTTAGTCTCACACCAATATGCATGCCTTTTGATTCTGCCAATTCCTGTAAGCTGTGATTCGAAAAAAAAATGTGGCTTCCGTCACATAAGCGCTATAAGCTATAAGCGCTATAAGCGCTATAAGCGGGATTATCGGGATATCCGAGGATTTATTAAGCACATTCTTCTGTATCTCGAAATTTTGATATCGGTGACCTAAGGTAAGGTCAATATTGCGACCTCTCCATTAGGTAGGTACCTACCTATAAGTCAACGGGAAAAATTTGAAAGGCGCCTGTTTTGGAGGAACGTCATTCCGAACACTCTCAAACATCGGATTACAGGTAAACTTGACAAACTGAACCGAAAAATGGCACCAGCGACCTCTTCTTATGTCCCTACTCCCTGAGGTCATATCAGGTCATGCAAGGTCCCAGCAGTTTTTTTGACAATAACTTTTGATAGAGACATGCTAGAGCAACGGAATTATCTCGGATGTGTTCCGCTCGACCATTCGGATCAACTGAACTGGTATGCAACATGACCTTTTCCGGTCAGGTCGTCCTTGCCCTGAGGTCAAAATTTCAAAAAGACCTCTCAGGGTCAAGTTATACTTCATTCGACGCGTCTCGGCGAGAGAAACGCGATGCTGGCAAAATAAATGTCGACACTTTCTTGAGTAAAAAGTTATTGCAGAAAAACCTTTTTATAAAAATGGACATTTCTAGAGTTTTTGCCCTCTGGAAACTAAATTATTGACCAGAGACCAGTGTTACCATCAGATAAACAGCCGCCTACCGGAATTTTCTGACTAAAGATCGCTTCACATACGGAGCGTAAGCACGATGGGCACTTAGCGGATAGGGCTATACCGTTTACGTTCTGTATGTGAAGCGATCTTAAAGGGACACTCCCACCTTAACATTAGTTTTGAGTTGAGATAGCCAAATTGGTGGCCATAGCCTGCAAATACCGGTTTGGGCACTCACAACATCGACAAATGCTTTAATTCGGAGATATGGAATTTCAAACTTGCAGTTTTCGGATTCTAAGGGGCTAGTGCATTGGTATGCCCCCTTAGAATTTGTGACGTCAGCGGAGATCTAACGATTTTTAAATCTTTTACTAAAACATTTGGTAGCACGCGGTGGTATATGCTGCTTTGCGCGCAACAAATGCCGCACTTTCAAATAAAGTCGCTAGGAACAGCGGAGATCCCAAAAAGTAAACAAAAGTAAAAGTCTAATATCTTGAAAACCGGTGAATATTTTTCGATGAAATTTGGTAGATATTCGTTTTCGCTCTTTCTGAACCGAGCGACATCACTTTCGTGCCAATTCATTAACTTTTTTGAAGGTGGGAGGGTCCCTTTAAGTAAAAAATTCCAGCAGGCGGCTACTTTTCTGCTGGTAAAACTGGCCTCAGATGTCCCACAGTGTATACAAATATATCCATTGTCCAATCTGAGGACAAGCTGGCGAAAGAGCGTTGAAAGAGGCGAACTATCGAATGCGCTTTTCCGCGGCGCTGTATATAGCTCTATTAGGTTCCCGAGTTGTAACTTGTGTGCCGGGTTTTGGAAAATTGCTGAAAAATGCAAAATCTGACCTTTGATGATCTCTGGCGACATGACCTTTGACTTGACCTAAAAAATAACTTAAGTGTTTCCTCAATATGTTTGACGTTTCGAATGCCGCTTACGGCGTGTCGCTACGGCATGGCCCATGAGCCAAGTTCGGAGTTAGGCGGGGATGTTTAGACACCACCCCACACCCCCACCCCCACCCCCGGCCCGGCGCTGTCAATTTGTCAATTTGAATAATAGTTTCGGAAGAGGAAAAATGACATCCGATGACCTAAGGTGACCTGACCTTAAACTTGACACAAAAATTATCGTGATTTTTTACGCTTTTCAGCCACGTGATAACGCATGACTGGCTGGCTGCATACCAAGGGCCTAGCTATATTGACCTAGGGTCAGGAGCAGAATTACAGAATTAGAAGGGCGTAACTTCCCGAGTAAAGCGGGAAATTTAGAGGTCCCGGCGGGACTTGACCTGACAACGGTCAATGTTTTTTTAGAGAGCATGGACCCGGTCGAACTCACCTCGATTCCCGTCAGACACGATCAGGAGGAGCCCGCGCCCCGGCGAACCGACCCAACTTCGGTGGCTTCGGTGTCCTAAGCTCACAGCCTCACAGCGACTGTTCCATTTGTTTACCTTTGTTGCTATGCCAACCGGGCACCACTCGTGATCTTTCATTGACCCGAATGGCTTATTGCTAGGCGCCTGTTTAAAAGAAAAAGACAAAATTTGCTTAAAATATGACGCTTATTACTATCATAAGTAAAGAAGGAAGCTAGTGTACGGAGTAAGAGACTTTTATTAATAACTTTTCTATTAGATGTCATTTGACGTAATTTGATTTATTTTCTTTCGGAAATTTAAGTTTTCTAGCAAACATGTTTTATTGATGTCATATAGTGCTTGCGAATCACGAGATAGCTTTCTGGGACATTACTGCCGCTCCTGTTACATAAAGTGATTGTAAACAACGATCGATAAACGATAAACGATAATTATCGCTGTTTAGTAAATCGGTTATCGTTATCGTTTATCGCTAAATTTTCAAAATTATCGCTCATCCACTTATCGCAAGTTACAAAAATTATGAACGATAAACGATAAAATGTGAAACGGGATGATGGAAAAAATGGAAGATGATCGTCGCTGTAAAAAAAACAATTATCGTTATCATTTTATCATTCTATCGCTATCGCTGTTAATTTTTTGAAAAAATATCATTTATCGTTTATTGTTATCGCAAACCTGTTATCGTTTTATCGTTATCGCAGGTCCGAAAATAAGTTATCGCGGAAAGCGCTGTGTATTGGTATACCTTCCAGAAAGAATTCCATCACATTGCAATTGCATGTCAAAAAATGAAACGCTGAACGCACGCACCCGACACCCCTAGATTTTGACTGTCAAGATAAGCTCATGGCCATGTAACATTGTTCGAAAAGATTAAAACAGGCACACAAGTCTTGTGCACAAGTATGAACATGTTACTCTTCACTTTTGTATTTATAATGTAACACCTTTTGATGACCATGGTCACTTAACTTGGTCATTACTCGCATTGGTAGAGGGCCTGGGATGGGTTAAGTGAAAACTTGGCAACTCATTGTCCAACCAGTTGCCAGCTTGAGGCTTGAGCTGGCTGAACATCAATATGGGGGCATGGCTCCATGGGTCAACAGTGTGGAGCTCTGGCTGCAAACTAGCTGCCACTGATTTACAAGATGCATGCCTTTTTCACTAGGTCATATGGATGACTGCTAACTGGCTTTTTCATAGACACAAATGATCATCTTGACTAGGATTCTGTAAAACATGCACAATTTTTATCTCAGTGCTGCACCAAATGCAGACCAAGACACCACCATTCGAATTTCTTGGCTGAGATCCCATAATTTATCATCCAGTGAACTCCATTCACCCAAGGGATTGGTGCTTCTCTACATGCAATGGGTTTACACTTTCCATCCCTTGATAAGTATTATGATACAAAATATTACAGCTGACAAGTTACAAGAATGGAATCTACTCCTGCAAGTCATAGACTTCATAGTGGTTACAACCACCAGGTCGCCAGAAGCTGGCAAGAAATTGGAGCAACCCTCCAAGCAAATAATTTAATGTATCCACTCTTCATAGTGTAAGTCAAGTAGATGAACCTTTCATATATGATGCAAAAGAGCATTTCAATACATTTCAAAGCATAAATCTGGAATAAGGGTTATAATACCTATACTGTGTAATGTTGCAGGGCATCTAACCAGTGTATGCCCCAGCAACATTTGGGGGCTCACATCTACCCCATTCATAGGTGTCAGGGGACTAAGGGGTGGGACTGCATAAATTTTTGTTGTTAATGTGGCATATCAGTAAGAAATAGCACCCAATTAGGTCTGTCTCTATCTTTAGGTTGTATCAATTTCTAGCCTTCTTGGCTCATTCTTTTTAGCTCATATTATTGAATACTGATTCTTAAATTATGTTATTCTGCATTGACATCCATTATATTATTTTGCACATGTTGTTATTGACTTACTGAGGAGAGTGAGCAGTGGTAGAGATGTATTACAGACTGTAATTTCCCATGCTTTGCCTCTGAGGTCTCTGGACTCTGTTTCCTCAGTGATGACCCAGATGCCGTGCAGCCTGTGGCCAGCATGCCGGGAGTGTCACGATACGGCGTCAACCAGCTGGAGCAGGTGCTCCCTCCTCTTGTTCAGGATGGCCTGACCTCAGTCCTGCTGTTTGGGGTGCCTGAAGGACAGAAGGTAAATATCAGGGTGGTGGGCAATCAAATCTTTGAGTCATGTTGTTCCACTGGTAGTCCAGTGCTAGTATGTTCTAAACAGTGCTGATACACGCTCATAGACTCCGAGCTGTGAGCCGGCAACTTTGTCACACCCGTCCTTTCGCCGGTAAATGCCTGCGTTAACGATTGACCAGTGAATACGTGTCAAACCTCTACGTAATCCATGAGCGTTGGCCTATCAGGAACCGCGAAAATCACCACTGTTCTGATACTATCTGCACTGTGTGTCGCCATTCTGTGAGCGTGATACCGATTGTTACAGGACGAGCGAGGTTCTGGAGCCGATGTGCCGGATAACGCCGTTATAAAAGCCATCAGAACGATCAAGAGCTGCTGCCCGTCCCTTCTGATCGCTTGTGATGTGAGTAAAGCTGCCCATGTTGTCTGGGTAAATATTGCTCCTTACGTGGATTGAAAGTGAAGCTGGGGTAGTTATATGTTCGAAGTTGGCTCGAACCTTTATTATCAGCCTTTGCCTCACGCATATAACTGTTTACGAATTCTTTTGCTTCTCAGTTCTCATGCACACATACATGCTACGTAAGCCAGTGTGTTGCACAGTCCACGCACTCGTGAAACCGTTACGAAGACACGTCATACGGCCACTGAGGACTGACGCTTCCCGGCTCCGTTCACACAGGTGTGTCTGTGTCCGTACACCTCGCACGGCCACTGCGGCATTCTGCATGAGGACGGCACCATTAATAACCCGCCCAGCATCGCTCGGCTCGCAGAGGTGGCGCTGGCGTACGCACAGGCTGGTGAGTAGTGCCGGAGGAACGGAAACGGACGGAGAACGGCTCGATGGACAAGGTCAGAATTGTTTTTATGTTTCGAATGCTTTTTTTATTCATTTGCTTTTTATTGGCGTTGAATGGCTATTTAGAAAGTCTTACTCGCACCGCGCAGTGCGCCCATATTTCCTTTGCTTTTGTTGCACGTTTTTCGCCCTACAGCTCAGTCGTCATAGCAGCTGTGCCTCGTTTTCCGACAGGTGCCGATGTGGTGGCTCCATCCGACATGATGGACGGTCGTGTGGCGGCCATCAAATCCCGGCTGGCCGGCGCCGGCCTCGACGGCCGCTGCGCCGTCCTCTCGTACGCCGTGAAGTTCGCCAGCAGCTTCTATGGCCCGTTCCGGGACGCGGCCAAGTCCGCTCCAGCGTTCGGCGACCGCCGCTGCTACCAGCTGCCGCCGGGCGGCCGGGGCCTGGCGGCGCGGGCGGCCGCGCGCGATGTGGCCGAAGGTGCCGACATGCTCATGGTGAAGCCGGGCATGCCGTATCTGGACATTGTGCGCCAGACCAAGGACCAATTCCCGCAGTACCCGCTCTTCATATACCAGGTATGCGTGTGAGCCGAGACGTCGTCGTGGGTCGTCATGGCCATTGTACAGATTTCTGGTTATTGCTGTCGTTCGTCTTCTCGGATTTTCTCCAGCCGATCGTAGCCCAGGGTTCTTGATGCCACATGCTTGTAGCTCTGGCCAGGGCCGGTGTTGGGTCGCTGTAACTGCCGCGCTGGTGGCACGTCGTGGCTGCTTTTGGTTTGCTGTGGCCGATTTAAATCACTGTGGACGCTGTTTTCTTGCGGTGGCATGCTGACTTGCCTCGTCTGACGCGATCTCCGGTCGTCAGGTGTCCGGAGAGTACGCAATGCTGTATCACGCCGCCGCCCAGGGCGCCTTCAGTCTGAAACCGGTCGTGCTGGAGGCTCTGACGGCCATGCGTCGTGCAGGTCAGTCCGCCGAGCTATCTTGGTTTTACACTAGCACGTGTCATTACCCAACAAAACAATCAATTTTTTATATGGTGTGTACTATTTGTCCTGAACTATTTGTAGTTTATATCGTACAAAAAAATGCAAGTGATTTCACAGAAGTGATTGTATACATATACAAGAATAATAGTCCGTAACCTTTGTTTCGTGATAGTTCACCTGACTAATGTTTTTGTCAGAATTTCATATGAGCAAGTCGTATGACAAGGCATTTGCATCTGTTTCTATCAATCAGGAAATGTATTTGCCATCCGTTTCTGTAGCAAACTCATCATTGATTCCTTCAATGGAGATGTTAATTGTTCGGAGTCATAAATTTATCGTCATCAGGTTCACGTCCTGCTAACTATTTCGCTTACAACTAATTTGCTACTGATTCACTTTTGCACACCATCACCCGTGCAGTTTGAATGAGTCCGTAACATAATTTCTCAGCTTTGTGTGTTATTGCCTCCATTATTTAGTATCAAAAGACAGGGACATCCACACGCTACACTGATTGGAATCCCAAGGTCGTGCGTGGCTGAAAGCTGAGTTATTGAGTTCAAAGTATAGATGTTGGATCGATTCTTTGTATTAATAGTTCAATTGCAATCTTGTACTCAGCCTTGAGTGCAATATGATTGCAGTGATTGCAAGCGATATCAAAAGCAACAGAAAATATCTAGTGGTTTGCTATGCTATATTATTTTTAAAGGTGTTCTTTATGACAGTTGCTCTTTTTTACTTACATACTAACCTGCCAAAGATGTAAATGGAAATATTACGGCAGTCGACGTCATTTTATAAGTTATTTGGTATAATCTTTTCTTCGCTGGTGATTTCAAGGCCCCGGATTATAGGCCTATGACTATGTAGCCACTGGATCGTAAATCGCTTGTGGTTGATATGCTGCGTTTATTCCCAACGTGCGTCTCGTCTGAGCCCCACGCTGTGTTGCTTTGACTCCACTCTGTTTTGGCTGTCCTCTCACGCCTCCGTCGCTCCACGGCAGGTGCCGACGTCATCATATCGTACTACACACCACTGGTACTGGGCTGGCTGAAGGGCCGAGAGTAGTCCAATTCGGGT